CGGGCGGATGGAATGGGAATGCGGAGCTTTGCTCCTCCGCTGCGAGAGGAAATGGTGCGGGAATGTCTGCAGCGTAGGGGGAGCAGAAATGGGCGCTGTCACGTTGGCTTTTGTGGGATAGGATGAAGCCGAGCGCTCGCGTTTGTTGAACATCCTGCCGGGGAGGAGCGCCCCCCTTTCCTGCCCACCCCCGGGGGACTGTGTGTGCGTGCCGGAGTGTCCCAGAGCCTGGATGTGCGGGGAGATGGGGAGTGTGCGTTTGGGATTCATTAGCCCGGGTTTAGCTGTTTTCATGCTTTACGTGCCTAAGGGCTACCCGCAGTCACAGCGAGGGGAGGAGTTTGCTGTTGCTGGCTCGAAATCCTCTCCAGGGGTGATCTTGTTCGTGTCAACCATGAGCAATTAGAGAGATTAACTGTCTTGTTTTCCTTTCTGCCCTAGATTGGTTCTTGGGAGGCTCTGGGACGTTTGAAAGTGATTTGGAGGGAGCAAAGTCTGTGTCCGATGGCCAGCGAGCCCCAGGCAGCGTGCGTGGTGCCCCAGGCTCCCTGCCCAGGAATGAAGTGCTCTCCTGCTGAGGACTTCTCTCCCCAGGTGAGGCTGTCTGAAAAGATCCCACCGGTGAAGCCTTGCTTCAAGAAGAAGCAGCAAGTGCAGAAGAGGCTGGACACACAAACTCTGCGGGCTCTGCGGCCGATCTTCACCAGCCTGCTGGGAGCGGGGGCCTTGGACAGGGTCTTTGTGCCCCGAGGCCAGCGAGGTGGCCATGGTGATTTATGTGAACCTGCTGTGAAAAAGACTCTGGACCTCGGTACCTCTTGCCCCCAGACAGAAAATAATGTGACTGTGCTGATGCCAACAGCTCCAGATGTGCAGGGTCAGCTGCCAGGAGCTCATCCTTCCCCCAGGCACCCTGAGCAGGACTCCCAGGCAGGAGAGCAAGGATTCTCCCCAGAAACTCCTGGAACTGCTGCTGATAATGGTAATGAATCATTCCAGGATCATCCTTTGCACCCAAGTGCTAGTGATGGTGCAGCTTGTCCTCTGTTCCCTGACAAGGTTCTGGAAGGCTACACATCTGCCTTGCTCCAGGAGAACAGCTGTCCAGTGCAATACAGCTTGACCCCAAGCAATAAATTCAGTGCTGGGATATTCCAGGATAAAAGTGAAGAAGCTTCCCTTGACCTGGTGTTTGAGCTCTTGAACCAGCTGCAGTATCACACGCACCAGGAGGATGGGATTGAAATCTGTGTGGATTTTCTCCAGGGCACTTGTGTATATGGCAGTGATTGTCCCAAGCATCACACAGTGTTACCCTATCACTGGCAGGTGAGGAGGACAGCAACCCAGAGGTGGCAAAGTGTGACCAACGATTCCCAGGAGCACCTGGAAAGGCTTTACTGCAACCCTGACAATGACAAGATCAAAGTCAAGTATCGGTAGGTAACTGAATTTACTGAATAAACTGAATTTCCCCTGCTGGGAAGGGGGAAGAAATATAAATATAATAGGATGTGCCTTTTTTTCCCTGATACTCGTATCCAAGCATGTTATAAACCCTGGGATGATGTTTCCTGATTTATATCCAACAAGTTTAACTCAACAAAAAATTCTCGTACACCTGTAAGAATGTTATTTAGCATCTGGAATGTGTACTTGGAAGCTGGAGGACTTGGAGTGTGTGAAATAAGAAAACTTCAGCTCTGTAGGAATTCAGAGGCTGTTGTGGAATGCTGTGCTTGTTCTTGGCGTTCCTAATTAGTCTTTTCTCCCAGTTAGACAAAGTGGCAGCATGAAAGAGCCTTGGCAGCGCTGGGGCCAGGAATGACAGAGCAGTTGCTCTGTGTCAGTGCGAGCACAGCCTGCATCATTCCATCCCACACAGCTAAAGCACAGGGGAGCTCTGGGGAGAGTTATTGTTTTCTCTCTCCAGAGCTGTGTTTATTGACTCGTTTTCTAAAATTAGCCAACAGCTGTTGGCTTGATGTGGTTGTGTGACCGGTGTGGGCTCCCGCACCCCCAGAGCTAAAACTTCTTCAGCTTCTGCCCTGCAGGTTCCAGTCTGAGCAGCAGTGGGGAAGAGTGATGTTTACAGGGTGCAGACTGGTTTGGTTTTTTCTGGAGGAAGTGTGTGGTGCACATTGTGGCAGGGCAGATAAGAGAGGAGAAGTTTGCCAGGCTGGCGCAACTCCAGTTCAAAGTGACATTTGTGGAGTGAAACCTTCACACTGCCTTTGCCACCCAAACCCTTCGGGGTTCTGCTCACTGCCTCTTCTTCCTTTCAGTTCCTGAAGGAAGTATATCCCTGCTTTCTCAACATTTTATTCTCATTTATTAAGCTGAGATTTCTCATTTGGCACCAGAGACCAAATCTAGTGCTTAAAGTCAGCGTAAGTCTTTACTTTCACTGAATTTGATGTTGGATTAGACACTAAATTCAACCTTTTTCATAGACCCAAACTGGTTTGGGTTGGGAGGGTCCTTAAAGATCACCCAGTGCCACCCCCTGCCATGGCAGGGACACCTCCACTGTCCCAGCCCCAACGTCCAGCCTGGCCCTGGGCACTGCCAGGGATCCAGGGACAGCCCCAGCTTTCCTGGGAAACCTCTGCCAGGGCCTTTTTAGTGATGGCAATATCAAAATATGGATGCCCCACACTGAAAATAAAAGTCAAGTAGAATATGTAGTAGGGGACAACTATATTTTATAGAATTGTCTTGAAGAAATACGTAATTTTATAAGGGCATAGCAGATAAAAATCTGCTGAACTTTACAAGAGAGGAACTTCTATTTCCCAAGTGTTAGATACGATTTCTGAAAACAAAACAGCACAGCCAGAGCCAAGCCCATTAAATGATTTAACTTTGAGCTCTGTGCAAATGAGCAAATGGTTTCCTTTTAGAAGTTGTGTCACCAAATCCATCACTGCACATGAGCTCTGTGTCCTAAAGGATGGACTTGGGAGTGGTTTGTGGTAAAGGACACAGTGCTTGGTCATGGCTTAGTCACCCCCAGCCTGGGAAGCTGCTGTGCAGTGCCCTGTCCCCTGCACTGGGTGTGCAGGTCCCAGCCCAGAGGGATTGCTGCCTGCCTGATGCAGCTGGGGACAGGGCTGGCAGGTGTGTGCTGGGGACAGGACCTGCCCTGAGTGTGAGGGAAGGGAGAGGAGCAGCTTGGGCCCGGGACTCTGCCCAAGGAGCGAGGCACAGCCCGGGGATACAGACCTGACCTTGCTGGGCTGAGAGGGACAGGACAAACTGCAGATTTGCTCTGGATATTGGGGAGAAATTCTTCCCTGGGAGGGTGGGGAGACCCTGGCTCTGGGGCTGCCCCTGGATCCCTGGCAGTGCCCAAGGCCAGGCTGGACAGGGCTGGGAGCACCTGGGACAGGGGAAGGAGTCCCTGCCATGGCAGGGGTGGAACTGGGTGATCTTTAAGATCCCTCCCACCCTTGGAGTATGTCAGTGAGACCTTTGGAGTGAAGCTCTATTTAAGACCAGAGCTGATTTCAAACTTTGAGTCTGATCCTCCTCAGAACTTTGACTTGCCAGGCTTGGAGGTAGGAGCTCAACATTTCACTGCTCTTCATCTTCTTCTGCAGCATCACCTGGTCTGAGGAGAACCTGCTGAGGTGTGGGGAGCCCCAGCTCCCTGCTGGTCCCTGGTGCCCTGCTGGTCCCTGGTGCCCAGTGTCCCCAAGCCGTGTCCCCAAGCCGTGTCCCCTGGGATCTGTGACCGTGCCCCGCCAGCGCCGCGTCCCATGGTTACGGCATTATTTGTTAAAGCCATTAATCTGCCGTGGTCAGACGAGCTTTGCAGGCCTGTCTGCTCGTGGCAGGCAGAGCAAAAGCCTGCTCAGCACTCTGCCTGGCCAGCAAGGCTGCTGTCTGTCCTGCTCCGGGGGTGTGGCGACTGGGGACACCCCCAGGCAGCTGGGCCCTTCCAGAAAGTGTTGGCTATCAGCTCAATTAGGGAATGAGCTCTAAATTAGGGTGTTCTTCAAGGAGCTATTTATATAAACCTTCCTTCCTCTTAATTATTAAGATGAGTAATGACGGAGATAAGTTATTGAGATGAGTAATGTAAAATACACATTAAGTTGTTGCCTCTCACCTAAGGGAATGTGATCTCAGAGGAGTGGTAAACCTTGTTTAGTTACTTTGTGTAATGCAACTCCTTCAGCTACTTCTTGCAGTTTGACCTCAAACTGAGTATTTATCATAAATTACTTTCGTTTTTTCTGGATTCTTGAGTCTGCCAAGTATGTAGAGCCACATACCAAGCTATCTAAACAAAAGGGGGAACATCAACTTAACAGGTTAAAGTACTTAGGAGCACTCAGTTTTCTTCATAGATGTGAGGAGAGGCCCTGGAGAAGTTCCAGCTTGCAGCAAAGGGAGAGCAGTGCCAAGTGCTGCTTTCCAGCAGGAGATGCCCACGTTGGGATATTTTAAGATGCTCTTTGCTAAGGGGAAATACTTGGCTGAGGAGCTGAGCAGGTTTCCCCACACACACACACCTGTCCTATCATGCACACGTCGCTTTTCAAAACAGCAGCATTAGAGATTACAGGAGGATTTGTTTAAAACAACTCTGCAGTTCCTGACCCATCAGTTCCCCCTGCTTTGGCTGAAAATTCCACTCTTTCTCTTGGCAAAAAAGGGCTCCCAGCTCGCCTGACACGGCAGCTTCTTGCTGTTGCTTTGATTTCTTTCCTTTTTCTTTCTTTTTCCTGTAATTTCTGTAAGTTTTCTGGAATGCTGGCTGGAAGAGAAGCCAGGGTGAGGCTGCAGGGTGGCTCTGCAGTGGGATGGGTTCTGCCTGGGAGCTCTTCTCTCTCTGCACGCTCCTGGTCCTTGGGTGAAATCAGCAAATGGTGACAGGGCAAGAGGAATCTCAAGCTGTCCTGGGGAGGTTCAGCTCAGGTATCAGCAGGAATTTCTCCCTGGAAAGGGTGGTCAGGCACAGGAAGGTCTGTCCAGGGAGGTTTGGAGTCCCCATCCCTGGAGGTGTCCAGGGAATGACTGGATGTGGCACTCGGTGCTCTGGGCTGGGGACGAGGTTGGACTCGGTGTTCTCGGAGGTCTTTTCCAACCTAAATGATTCTGTGACTCTGTAAATACAGAGTGTTCCTCTGGGGTTATCAGGGGGCACGTGAGGGGACTGGCAAGGAGAGGCATGGACACCCAGAAATGTTCAGGAAACTGGTTTTCCTTCATTCCTCTGTGTGTGGGATGGCTGCTTCTCTGGTGCTGACAGAATGTGCTTGACGTGTTAAAAATCATACAGAGCGTGGTGGAGGCATTTCAGGCATGGAATGATGGAACCTCAGAGTGCTCTGGCTTGGAAAAGCCCAGCCAGTGCCACCCCTGCCATGGCAGGGACACCTTCCCCTGTCCCAGGCTTCTCCCAGCCCTGTCCAGGACACTGCCAGGGGTGCAGGGGCAGCCTTGGTGGGCAGCAGCTGTTTGGGGAGCTCTGCAGGGCCCATCAAACAGTTAAATTTCAGAGGTTTTCTGTGTGATCCACAGTGTGTGAGATAAGGCATGTGTTAGTGATAACAGGAGATGGGAAACCAGCTGAGAGTCCCTCTGCCTGGGTTTGGGGGAGGTTCTTGGCTATTCCCTGAGTGGCTGGGAGCTGCTTTTCATTCCTCTCCAGGAGGAATGCAAGGCAGAGCCTCAAATAAAACTCCTGGGAAGCGATTTTGGAAGCGTTTGCCTCGTGCTGTGTGGGTTCCTTTCAGCTGCACTCTGCAGCACCATTCCCATGTGAAATGAAACTAATTGGCTTCAAGCTGCAGAAAAGCAGGGAGGCCCTGAGCAGAGCTGTGAGGAAGCAGCAATCAGTGCCATCCCTGCCTGCCGTCAATAAACAGATTGCAGCTTGGGGAACAGCTGGCATCTGGCTGCAGGTTGAGGTCAGGCTGTTCCTGGCAATAAAGCAGAGCTTCCCGAAACAGAGAGCAGGGGTTGCTCCCAGGTAGGGCAGCAGGCACAGGGCTGGGACAGGAGTGCCCATCCCTGAGCCAGGACAGCACAAAGCTGCTGTGACAATGATTTGCTCAGCAGGAGCGCTGATCCTGAGGTTCCTTCCTGCTGGGTACTCGGATGTGTTGAAATCAGGAGGGATTTGAGCTGAGTAATAATTGAGAATCTGGTTCTTGTAGTCACAAGAGTGCTTGTGTTTTTGTGGGGAGTTGGTTTTGGGAGGTGTGATGCGGTGCATTCATTTTTTAGGAAAAGCCTGGGATGCCGGGACAAGGGGGAATGAATTTCCAGTGCCAGAAGGCAGAGATAGGTGGGATATTGGGAAGGAATTCCTCCCTGTGGGGGTGGGGAGGCCCTGGAATAGAATTCCCAGAGCAGCTGTGGCTGTCCCTGGATCCCTGGCAGTGCCCCAGGCCAGGCTGGAGCAGCCTGGGACAGCGGGAGATGTCCCTGCCTGTGGCCCTGGGTGAGCTTTGGGCTCCCTGCCTGCAGCAGCTCTGCTTGTGCTCCTCTAAAACAGAAATAGTTTAGGTTAGAAAGGACCCCTAAAGGTCATTGAGTCCCACACCCTGCCAGGAGCATCTTCTACCGATTTAGCAATTAAACAAACAAACCTCACTCAAACACATCCGGGGGAGCAGCTGAGAGCTGGTGGAGCCCAGCAAGCCTGGACAGGGACACTGTGTTTGTTGTGCCCTGCAAACACCAGGTGTAGCTGGGGTCTGAACTGGGAAACAGTGCCTGTGGGATCCTTGGGAGAGGGGAATGTGTTCAGCATCCTCATTGCTGGGGAGTTCTAGAACTTACCCAAGCCTCACAGCCCAGGCTCCCCCTAACCCTTGTTCAGGCGTGGAGTGGGTTCTTGGGAAGAACAAACAACTTTTGGTACAGTCTCTTCTCCTCCAGCAGCCCTGCCTCGAGGACTTCCTGATCCAGGGCTGGGGGGGGTTACTTCTATTATTATTATTGTTATTATTATTATTGTTATTATTATTATTGTTATTATTATTATTACTATTATTATTACTATTATTATTACTATTATTTTCCCTGCCAGGCGTTCATCTAAGCCATACACACACACTCACACATGTCTGGGCCAGCAGTTGTTTCAGCCTGACAAGCTGCCCCCCCTCGCTGTGAGGGCTCCAGAAGATTGCTTCTGCAAGCACCCCTGACACCAACTGTAAAGGCAGGGGAAAAGTCTTTCCAACCTTTAAAGAATAAACACAGGAAAAGCAGCAAAGTCGCTGCTTTTGGGTTCTTTAGTCCCCTGGGGATGGTGCCTTTAAGCTGGGAGGGAAATGTGGCTGTGGCATGTCCCCAGTGTGAGGTGTCACCTCCCAGGTGGCCCAGGGTCACCACAGAGAGCAGCAGCGTGACTTGATGAGGGGGCAAGTTCAGTAAAATCTGACCCTGACGTGCTGCCCTGGCACTGCTGCCCCTCCCTGGTCTGAACTGGGGAGACTGGTGGGACCCAGGCTCAGGTGGGCTGTTTGTGCTCCTGCCCTGCTGTGGAGGTTCCTGTGTGCCTGTCACACCTTCTGCCCAGTCCTGCTTCCTGCAGAGCTGTTGATGAGCATCCCTTGGGAGTGTTCCTGGGCCTTTTCCTGCTGCTGTGCCTTTCCATCTGGCTCTCCTGTCTGAGCTCTGCTCTCAGAATTAACCTCTGGGTTGGGTGTCCAGCTCTGGCACAGGCTGTGCCTGGTGGAGTCCCCGTCCCTGGAGGGGATTGGAGCCCTGGCCTTGTGGCACTTGGGGACATGGGGCAGTGCTGGGGATGGACTCCATGCTCTGAGAGGGAGACCTTTTCCAACTGAACCAAATCTGGGATTTCTCTGATCCTTGGTTTCATCCAGGAGTTTAAACTCTGTCCCCCACCCAAAGCTGGGCTCATCTCTGGGAGAGTCCTCCCCCTGCAGCTTCAGCCAGGAGCACAAACAAGATGAAATCTCTCAGCTTTGGTGTCTCCAGGAAGCGTCAGTGCCTGCCTGGGCTGCTGCAGTCTCTGAGCTCCGTGTGGCTCCCCCAGCCCCGAGAACAAAACCTTCTCCTGCCCCTCTGAAGCCCCTGAGCTCCGGGGGCCCTCGGGGTTCTTACTGCTGCAGAGAGGAACTGGTTTAGTCAGAGAGAGAAGCTCACCAGTTTCAGCATGGCAGGGTGAGCCGTGCTGTGTCTCACAGCTGTTCTGGGAGCAGTTTTCACATCCTGCTCGGCCCCTGCTGCTCGCAGCGTTTCTGTTTTCTGTGAACCTGTTTGCGGTAACTCGCCACACGCCCCCAACTCGCAGAGCAGCTGCAAACCACACGGCTTTTCAGAGCACCTACAAAACAGATTTCTCTGCTCATCCATTTGTACATAACATCTGTTTGTCTTGCTGAAGGGAAGGAGCCCGGGGGATTCACGCATTAGGCTGAAGTTCTTTAGAAGGATGGAAGGGAGAGCCTAAATATTCTTATTTTGGCTGCACTCATCTGAAAAAAATCTATCGGTGTTATAACTTGCCAGTCGAGGAACCTGCTCACTCCAGTGTCCTGGAAAGTTTACACCTTTCTGTTGTTTCTTCCATTTAGGGAACAGAGAAAATGCAACTTATTTGTGGGGTCACGTTCTGCTGTTGAGAGCTCGTGGAGTTTTATCTTGAATTGTGCTGTACCAAATTTGGGTTGTGTGCCCTCTTCTTCTGAGAGTTCAATGTGTTCATTCTCTCTGTGCAAATAGTTCCACTGAACTGCTTTATTTTATAAACAGAGGCTTTTATTTGGTGAGGAGAAATTCTTCAGAAATCTCTGTTCTCACCTCTCGAGTCTCTGCAGGACCTTTCACAAGGGCACTTTCACAAGGGGAATGGCTTTCAACTGCCAGAGGGCAATGGATGGGGTGTTGGGAAGGAATTGTTCCCTGGGAGGGTGGCCAGAGCAGCTGGATGGTTCCCTGGCAGTGTCCCTGGACAGGGCTGGGATCCCCTGGGACAGGGGAAGGTGTCCCTGCCATGGCAGGGGTGGCACTGGATGGGCTTCACCCAAACCATTCTGGGATTCTACACCTCTGCTGGCTTTGAGGTTTTGTCCCTCTGTGCTGAAAACCGTGTGTTTAATGGGATACAAAAGGTGAGAATTGTCTGTTTCTCCCATTCTTCCCAGGGGCCAGGAGTTCTGGGTGGATCTGAACCTCATGAAATTATACGAAAGCGCAGAGTTCGACCAAATGCGGCGCCTGTCCACAGCCTCCTGCCCCAGCTCCAGCTCCAGCTGCTACACGGTGTGGAAGTACTTCTGCAGGGACCACTTTGGCTGGAGAGAGTACTCTGAGGTATGGCCCCTTCCCTCTCCTGCTCCTGCTCTGGAGCCAGCACGCTGTAAATCCACCCATGCTCATCCTGCTTCCTCTCTGACACTCAGGGAGGGGATCTGGAGTTCCTGTGGGGATGAGGAGAGTCAGGGCTGAACTGAGCAAGCAATAAAGGGACAGCTCTGCTGGCTTGTGCTTCTGAGATCCTGACTTGAATCACCCTGAGAACATCAGGGCTGGCCACACTGTCCCACTGGGGAGCAAAGCAGGCAATGCCAAGGAAGCCTCTCTGGAGCCTCGTTTGTTTGTATGTCAGTGGCACAGCTTCTGCAGCCTTCAGAACACCTCCTCTATTTACCCTGGCAGTTTTAAATTGATTTCCCTGTCCCCAGAGCTCTGCTGAGCTGGGACACGCACTGCCAGACCTGTGGGTTGGGCATGGCTGAGGTTTGGAATGAAACCTCCTCAGTGCTGGCAGTCCCAGGAATAATTGCTGAGTGTAGGAACTGGAGAGAGTTGGGCAGAAACACCACAAATAACACAGTGAGGGTGCTTGAGCTGCGAGGAGAACTGCAAGGCCTGGCTTTGTGCAGTGTAGAGCAGGAATGTGAATTTTGGAGTGTGTGGTTTCTCACGTGTGCATTTCCCTTCCCCATTTCCCCTGTTTCCCCCTCCATTTCTCCCCTCATTTTTCCTGTTTCTCCCCCCTGTTTCTCCCCCCTGTTTCTCCCCCATTTCCCCTGGTTTTTCTCCTGTTTTCCCCCCATTTTCCCCCTCCAGCCCGTGGTGAGGCTGATCGAGGAGGCGAGCTGCCGCGGGCTGCGCGAGGTGCGCTTCGTCACCTGGCACAACCAGTACATCCTCAACATCAGGGATGGCTTCCAGCAGAACTCCTGCTTCCGCAGGGAGATCAAGAGGAGGCCCCTGCTGCGCTCCTGCGTGCTGCTCACGCCCTTCCTGCAGTAGGTATCCCTGGGAATGGGCAATTCCAGGTGCCCTTCCTGCAGCAGGAATCCCGGGAAATGCGCAATTCCCACCGCTCTCCGCGCCGGGCTGCACGGGGGACTTGTGTTCCTTGGTGTTGGGTGGGAAATGGGAACCAGAATCCAAAATCTGGGTCATGCTGGCAGCTCCTGCCCCTTTCCAAAGTGACATTTATCTGAGGAGCTCCCTGTTTAAATGTGTGATGTACCTTGTGGATGTTGGAACATCCCAAATTCCTGCCCGTTTTCCAGCATCCCGGGCTGTGGGAGGTGTCCCTGCCTTGGCAGGGGGTGGCACTGGATGGGCTTGGAGGTCCTGGCAGCCCAGAAATGCTGCTTTAGTGGCCTCTGAGTGCAGTCACAGCCTTCACACGTGGGCTGGGAGGTGTTTTTAGATTGGGTTTTACAGGAAGGAAACCCCAGGTTAGCAGAAAGAAACTGGAGGATGCCAGTAAAAAACAGAGTGCACTCGCTGCTTAGAGCAGTCCTGGTTCTCATCCTAATGAAAAATGAGGCTTTCAGGGCTGCTCCTCCTCGTGTTTTGCTGCCTGGGACTATTTCACCACAGTGATCTCCTGAAATGATGCAATTCCCAATTAATTCCCTGCTAATTTTGCTGGACCTTGAGGGCTCTCCACTCGTGAGGGATTGACCAGAACTGTCTGTGCCAGCTACCAAAGCTACAAACTAAACTCTGAGATTCTGTTCTGCACCAAACCTCATTCTGATTTTATTTATCCAAAGACCTTGTAAAGCTCACTTAAAAACACGAAATCTTGGCAAGAACAAGTGTGTTTTAAATATTTATGGGATCTATCCTTCAGGAGTCAGTGTTGCCTCCACTTCCCACATGATGCTACTTGAGAATTGTTCTTTCCCTCACCTCCCACCTGCTTAAATCTGTTCTAAAATTGGAAAAGAATCCTTGAATAGGAATGAAAAATGTTGACTTTTTAATGGCTTCCCCTGTAGAATAAATAATAGAAATATTTTACACCAGTCAGAAGAACCGAACAGAGTACACCAAAGGATTGCAGGATTTTTACTGGATTTGATGTCTTCCTCATTAATCCATGATTTACTGGCAATCTCTGCTTGCTCAGCCTTCCACTCCTGTGTGAGTGATGAGGCCCTACAGGAATATTTTTTTACCCACTTGCCCATCAAAGAGGAAAACCAAATTAAAAGCAAATGCACGCTTTGGTATTTGATTGCTATTTTAATAGGAATTTGTAGAACAAATTTCTGGGTTTCTGCCCAACTGTTAGTGACCAGGGAGAAGAGCTTTGAGTCAAATCCATGTAAATGAAGGGAATCCTGGCCTTGGCCTGGAGCAGGAGGGAGCAGCCAGTGAACACTCTCAGAGTGTTTCTGCCCTGAAAAGTGGGAGGCTGTCACAGCTTGCCATGTGTTGATTTAAAAATAGACCTTTCCCCACTAAACTTCCCCCTCCCAATGCTTTTCCTTGGATTTGATTTGGTTTCTGGCCATCTGTGGGGTTTGGGGAGCAGCCCCACCCTGGGTGTCAGCAGCCAGTGGCTCTCTCCTGCTGCCTGCTCCGGGGCACTGCGGGGTTGGCAGCTTTTCCTAGAGAAATACTTTGGGAAAATCCTCCTTGCTGGACTTTGGAGCTCGCTCCTGGCAGCTGCAGGAGCTGTGCTGGTGTGAGCCAGGGCCCTGCAGGCGCCCCATGCTCCCAGTGCTCCCCTTGGTGCACGAGGGAGACTCCAGGGAGCAAGGATTTACTCTGCTGAGTAAGGGCTGCTCACCCAGGTGGGGATCAGGGGAACATAAATCACAAAGGCCACTTAGCTCAGCTCAGGAGTGGGAGGATTCCAAGAGCTGCAGGTGGGTAAGAGTGGGGTCCTGCTGGTCTTTTCCAAGGGTTTCTTCCTGGAGCTTCTTGGCCACAGCTCCCTCCCCCAGCCCTGCCTGTTCTCCAGGCACCATTCCCAGAGCAGGGGCAGGAAAGTAACCAGCTGCAAATGCAAATCCACATCTGGCTGTGGAAATGGTGCTAGGAGTATTCCTGGCTTGGGAAGGGGCCTTGAATCCCACCCAGTGCCACCCCCTGCCCAGGCAGACACATCCCAGCGTCCCAGGGTGCTCCAAGCCCTGTCTGAGTGGCTTTGGACACTTCCACGGTAATCAGAGGCTTTTCAGCCCTGCTGGGAATGAACTGGAGGTGCCTGGAGGCTGCTGAGGGTGTCTGAGCACAACCTTTGTCCATCCCCCAGGACCCTGGGCGGCAGCTCCGCCGTGCCCTCCCCGTGCTCCGAGCCCGCCTCCGCACACCACTTGTCCCCAGCTGCTGTCACCTCTCCCAGCTTCTACCCCGAGACCTGGATTGGAATGGATCCAGCTCAGGACTTCATCCAAGTGCCTGTTCTGAAGGAAGACAAAAGCTATAGAACCATTTATAACCTGTTCCACAAGACTGTGCCAGAGACCAAATACAAGATTTTGAAAATCCTGCGAGTGCAGAACCAGTTCCTTTGGGAGAAGTATAAAAGGTAAGAGAAGGCAATTGCAGTTCTTTAATAATGGATATTCCTAGAGGAGGAATTTTCTGAGAGAGATTTGTATCTCCTCTCACAGCTCAGCTCTTCCAGAGGGTGATACCGTGATGAAAACAGCTTTTCCCCGGCTGACCTGCAGCAAATACTCACCTTCAGTTCCCATTTTCTGTTCCAGGAAAAAGGAATACATGTCCAAGAAGATGTGTGGGCTGGACAGGATCATGAACGAGCGGCACCTGTTCCATGGCACATCCCAGGACGTGGTGGACGGGATCTGCAAGCACAACTTCGACCCTCGGGTGTGCGGCAAGCACGCCACCATGTTCGGCCAGGGCAGCTACTTTGCCAGGAAGGCCAGCTACTCACACAACTTCTCCAAACGCTCCCCCAAGGGCGTGCACTTCATGTTCCTGGCCAAGGTGCTCACGGGCAGGTACACGGTGGGCAACCACACCATGAGGAGGCCTCCGCCCGTGGAGCCCGGCAGCATCACCAGCGACCTCTACGACTCCTGCGTGGACAATTACTTCGAGCCCCAGATCTTCGTCATCTTCAACGATGACCAGAGCTACCCCTATTTTATTATCCAGTATGAAGAGGTGAGCAGCACTGTCTCCATCTGACAGCCTGTGCTGCTCCCTGCCACAAACCTGGCTGCAGTTTGTGTGGGGGAAGTTCAGTCTGGACGCTTCCTGCCTGCTGCAATGACTCGGAAGAAAGGAAATTTGAAGTGACCAACTGTGTGCTTGCTGGTTGATTCCCTATGTGGAAATTGTACATATTTTTCCATTGTTTATAGTTGAAAATTTGTGCCTTTTGTTATAAAACACTGTTTATTTATGTCAGTAAATGTTCATGTTTCAGAAGGTGGCTGTGGGTGTCTTTTCGGTGGCGTTCTGTGCCTGTCACGCCCTGTCAGTGACGGGGGTGACAGTGAAGGGTGAGGTCACCTCTGCCGTGGTCACTGCTGTGCCTGGGATTTGTCATGAGACAGCCTGTTCTGGACAGTGGGATAAAGGTGCCCCAGAGGCTGGGAGGAAGGAACAGCTTGAGCAGGAGCTGATTTGGGAGCTGGGCAGAAGGGCAGGAGCTGTTCCTGGAGGAGACTGAAGTGGCAGCAGCCCCAAGTGCTGTGGGAACAGCCAGAGAGTTCCCCCTTCCCTCAGGGGCTGGGCTGGGGGGCACCCACAGGGACCCAGCTCTGCTCTGCCCCTGCCTGGGGCTGTGCTGGTGATTCTGGGGCTGTCCAGCTGATCACAGAATAACCCTGGAGTGGGATCTCACCACAGAATAAATAACCCTGGAGTGGGAAATGTTCCCTGGCCCTTCCTTCCTGAGGCAGAGCTCTGCGGGGAAGTGGCTTCAGGGACGGTGCAGGCGGTGGGTGGTGGTGGTGGGAAGGTTCCCTGGGAGTGGGAAGGAGCTCTGGGAGGTGTCCAGAGCAATGTCCTGCCCAAAGCAGGGTCAGCTCGGAGGTCACAGCGGCTGCTTCAGGGCTGCATTGAGCCTGCACTGGGAAACTGCAGGGCGGGAGCGTGCCTGGCTCTTGGACAGCCTCCAACCACAGCAATGGCCCTGGGAGGGGTAAAAACCCCCTCAAATCCAGGATTCTGCTGCCCCAGGATGAGGGACCCCAGCTCCTGGTGTCTGTGGGCTGCAGTCTGTGTCTGTGACCTCCAGGCTTGGGGCAGGGGCTGTAGCAGAGGTGCTGGAGATGATCCAGAAATGCAGTGAGAGGTTTCCTGGGCATGCCAGGGCCAGGTGGCTCTCCCAGGACTTCTGTAGGATTTCTGTGGCTCTTCCATTGCTCACTAGAGTTTTGCCTGGGGGAAAAAAAATCCCCTTTGCTTTCAACTCTGCTGGGAGAAGCAGAGTGAGACGAGGCCGGGGTGCCCTCGGTGTCACAGCAGGGTGGGCACAGCCGGCCCTGGGCTTCCTCCAGCTGCAGGGGAATTTGAGGGGCTGAGTCATGGGAGGCACAGAGCACAAGCAGAGCCTCGTGATCCCAGCACCAAACCCCTGCCCACCCTGGGGGTGGGGATCTTTAAATTTGTAGTTTTTAATGTGGAAACCTGAGGTTCTCCCACAGGAGTGAGAAGTGGGGGATGGACACGGGGAGCGTCTCTGGCTGCCCTGGGGTTTCTCCATCCCCACCATCACCATCCATCACAGCACATCCTCTGCATTAATATTTATTTTTCTCTTATGGCTACAAAGTCTGTTTTTATGAGAATAACTTCCCACAGATCCAACAACAAATGTCAGGTTGACCTAAGGGTTGTTGTTGCCTCAATTTTCTTCGGGCTCCATCTTGTCCAACCAGCCGGGTACAAGTTGTCTCATGCGTAATTAGCCTGTGATAAATCATCTCCTGCCTTCTCCCCGTGCACGAGGAGCACATTCCCATGTGCTGATCCACGCTGGGGTTTGTTTGTCTGTGCACTCTGTGCACTCCCTGTACCTCGGCAGGGCCCAGCCTCGCCCGCTCCAGCTCCCTGCAGCTGGATGGGGACAGGAATCACAGGATTGCAGCTGCTCAGATGATGGGCTCAGATGATCCAGAGCTGCCCCTGGATCCCTGGAAGTGCCCATGGCTGGGCTGGACAGTGGCAGGTGTCCCCAGCAGCAGGGCTGGGATGAGATGGGGTTTCAGGTCCCTCCCGAGCACTCCCTGGTTCTGTGGCCCGTGGTGCCCATGCAGACAGAGCGAGGATCTGCTGATGGCCCAGCCTGGAGACTGAACACCTCTTGTTGTCCATCACTGATGGTGGGGCAGCTCCTGGCCGTTCCCACCTCTGTTTTCCAGCAGAGCAGGCTGCTCCAAGCCCTGCCCAGCCTGGGCTGTCGGTGCTGCTGCCCCAGGACGGGTGTTCACCCAGAGCCAGCCCAGACACCCTCAGCAGGTCACAGGAAGGACAGGACAGGGAAGTGCTGCAGTAAATACCACCATGGAATCAAATTCCTGTTTGTTTGCCATGAACTCTGTGTTTGCACAGTCAGACCAAAGGGCTTTGGCTTCCACTCGGATGCAGCACCGAGGCCAAGGCACCAACTGATGCCTTTTCCAGATAATCTCAGCTGGGATCTGCTGAGCTCAGAAGTCTCCTGCTGATGGAGATGTTCCAGGTGCTTTCTGTCTCATTCCTGCCCATTTTCCAGAGCATTAGGCATGGGAAGCACCTTTCAGAACTGTTTGATAGAGCCACACAAGTGTTTATAGTACAGTTGTACCACATTTGGAGGCCATTGTAGTGCACAAAGAACAATAATTATTGCAGGCAGCAAAGCAGGGAAAGGAGGAATATTGGTTTGCATTCAGGGCACCCCGTGTGTCCTGACCTGGGGGTGCTGTGGGGCTGCAGGGTCAGTCCAGAGGAGACCCAGGAGCTGCTCCAAGGGCTGGAGCCCCTCTGGAGCCGGGCTGGGAGAGCTGGGAATGTTCACCTGGAGAGGAGAAGGATCCAGGGAGAGCTCAGAGCCCTGGCAGGGCCTGAAGGGGCTCCAGGAGAGCTGGAGAGGGACTGGGGACAAGGGATGGAGGGACAGGAGCCAGGGAATGGCTCCCAGTGCCAGAGGGCAGGGCTGGGTGGGATTTTGGGAAGGAATTCCTGGCTGTGAGGGTGGGCAGGGCCTGGCACAGGTGCCCAGAGCAGCTGGGGCTGCCCCTGGATCCCTGGCAGGGCTTGGAGCAGCCTGGAACAAGGGAAGGTGTCCTGGGAGGTGGCACTGGATGGTCTCTGAAGTCTCTTCCTACCCAAACCCTTCCATGAGGAGGCACCCAAGGCTCCCCACAGCTGGAAAAGCAGCACCACTGGCACCGTGCCCCTCTAACAGTGCCCAGCCGCACCTTCCAAACGCTGCTGCTCCTTTTCCAGCAGAGCAGGGCTGCAGGCTGAGCCCTGAGCTGCTGGGACAGGCGTGGGCAGGGAGCCCTGGGCTGAGCTGCCCTTCCCTGCCCAGCCCGGCACTGCAGGGGAGAACCAGGAATTCTCTCTGCAGGGAACGGGCTGAGCTTCCCCCTGCTGCCTGAGCTCTGACATCTTCTGGAGGAGCGCTGGGGTTTCTTCTTCTGTCAGCGGGGGATCTTTGTGGAGGTTCAGGTGTTAATGAGGGGCTGGTGTTAATGAGGGGCTGGCGTTAATGAGGGGCTGGTGTTAATGAGCAGCTCCTCCGTCGGCACCCGAAGAACCGATGGAGAGGAAGGGACGTGCAAAGACAGGCGTTGTCCCGAGCCGGGGGTGGCTCGTGTGCTCTGGGACCTGTTGTTCCCTGTCACCTCCTGGCCGGGCAGGGGGGACACGGCCCCGACCCCTCCCCACGCTCGGCACGGGGAGCAGGAGGGTCCCGCTGGGGCTGTCCCTGCTCCGTGGCTGCCCTGGACGGGGATGGAGCCGGGCTGGGAGGGCGCTGGGAGCGCTCCGAGCCGTGCCGGGGGTCGCTCCAAGCCCCAGCAGGGCCCTGCACACCTGGGGAGGGGTCAGCTCCCCCCGCAAGGCTCTCCTGCCCCTTCTCCCGACAGCTCGTGGTTCCACAGGGACATCGGGAAGGAAAAGGGGATGGGAACACTCGAAAGGAGCCGGCTCCGTGCCCGGGCAGTGTGGCTGTCCCTGCCCGGCCTTTGGGGCAGCTGCTGGGCACGGAGGGGACACAGAGCTGATGGCACCGAGGGGACACAGAGCTGCTGGCACGGAGGGGACACCGAGCTGCTGGGCACCGAGGGGACACAGAGCTGATGGCACCGAGGGGACACCGAGCTGATGGCACGGAGGGGACACCGAGCTGATGGGCACCGAGGGGACACCGAGCTGATGGCACCGAGGGGACACCGAGCTGATGGCACCGAGGGGACACCGAGCTGCTGGGCACCGAGGGGACACAGAGCTGATGGCACC